CTCCCGTGTGTGTTCTGGTGACATCGTGTAATACGACCACCTGTATAAGGCGACCCGTTTTCTCCTGGGCCAGTAGCTTTGTTTTAAACTCTTGTCTGGTGTTTATAGTTTCTTTATAAAAAACGTGTTCGTAAGCCCCCGTCGACACATTACATATGTATTAAGTTTCCTTTCCTCAATGAAAGAAGCTTGAATAGCATCCAACAGTCCCACAGCGTCTGACTAGGCGTACAAGCAGAAGGAACTATAGTATATTCTTTACAAGACCTTCATTTTTGTGGGGCATGTAAATTCTAGGTTTTCCTTTTTCTCAGTCTTAGACTTGTCACATATTATGACAGGAGACACTTTCCCAAGAAAGCACGCTCTGATGTAAGTGACAACCTTTTCAAACTGCACCAGGTACTCTACTTACAGTGACTTGATGAGGTTAGTCATTGGTGGCTGCTCTTCTTTTTGAACTTTATATTCTAAGAGCACGTAAATAGGTGGTGCAATGTTTGAGTTATAGGCCTATACTACCTGGAAGCAAAACTGAAAGGAAGTGATTAAAGTCATCTTTACAGTTCATGCCAGGACGGGTCAGAGGACTTTACCATTATTAGACGAAAAGCATGTGCAAAAATCTTGAGGGTGGGGGCAGGATTGTCTCTGTGACTGCTTTTTCCTTTGATAGTTAATGATAGCTACAAAAAGGTTTTCCACACAGTCCTGATTTAGCATGTTGCTGAACAAATACTTACCACCACCCTTTCCGTTTCCTTGACCAGAATCAAAAGGGCTTTAATTATTTGTATCCAGCCTTTATTAATGCTAGGCAGGGTTTTTAATGTGTTTTTTTTGTTTGTTTGTAGTTGTTTATTTTTGGGGGGTTGCATTGACATATATTCAAATTGTTTCTACCAACAAATGTAATACATTGTATTTGAAGAGGGGAATGTGGGGTGAAGTTTGATTGATACAATGCTTATAAATTGCAGATGACTTGCTTGTATTTGTAGTAAAGCATTGAAGAAACCTGCTATGAAAAGGGATGTGGTCATGTGCTCAGGCAGAAACAGATTTACTTGACAGAAGAATGCCATCCTAGCAGCACCTTAATTGTGGCTCAGAACATGAGCTACAAAAGCTGCAAAAACAGTATCTTTCAAGTCATAGAATTATTCTTTTTGAGAATAATAATGTGACAATTTAATCAACACATTATTATGAGTTGCATATATTTAAAACTACAACATGAACAACAGACACACATGCATCACACTCACTTATACAGTACAGACAACAAACTTATAGATTATATTGACCACTATGAAAAGAATTTGTTGACTTTTTCTTCCTCTCAATGTTATGCTTTTCTCTCATTAATATTACTAGGCCTACTTTATTGAAGGGTTGTCATACTCATAGTCATATAGTCTAGTATTATTGTTCTTTTTATTGTTGTTCATTCTTTGATGTACTAATAATAATTATAATCTAAGCATTCCAGAACCATGGATTTGACAGCTTACCCCAGTTAGCCTTTCCAGTGACATGCATTCTACATGTCCGTGTATCACTTTGTTGTATTTTGATTTCCCAAAGAAATTCAATTTTGATTTAAAACGTAGGCTGTTTTTTAAAGTATAGGCGCCCATATACTTAGGCATATGCCTACAGTGTAAACAAACACAACGTGATGTTTCGCTTCTATTATTCTTTATATAAATACTTTTAACAAAATAGCGAATTCTTGGCTAGATAAATGAATTTTAAAAAATTAAAAATTTACTTGTGCAAATGATGTTTGAGATCGAGGAATTTCCAAGTTGTAAAAGAGCATGAGCCTTTCGTTAGCATAGTAAGTCCTTTTGGGGTGGCTTGTTTCTTTCTAGAGTACGGGGATTGGGAACTTTGAATAACACAAGTATGGCTGTATTGCACCTTCAGTTGGTTTGTCTTAGCACCAAGAAACTGAGACTCCACAAAGTGCTCAAGACTCAGAGCAGAGAACGTTATCAGAAAAGAGACATTCTGGTGAGCTGCTCAGCAGATCCTGTCTTCAGCCTCGTCTGGCACCTCAGATCGTATCTTTAGTTAAAAAATTATTTTAAAAAAAAAATCAAATCTATTCTAGATCTAGACTCTATATTCTGTTAGAGAACAGTTCAATGCTGAGCACCACTGGCTGTTCTGTCGTTTTGTTTTTTAAACTGAAAGAACTCTATCTAATCTGCTTCTACCGTTTCGTAAACTCCTAGATCTAGATCTAGATCTAGAGTCTACATCATCATGTCACTGAACATGTTCAACTCACTAACGCTTTCCGTTCATAAAAATTTTAATTCTCAACTCATGTGCAGACATTGTAGCTTGCAATCGGCCTTGTCCTTTATGTTCTAGATATATTAGATCTAGATCTAGATAGTTCTATCGGGTGAAAAAAGAAAGCGACACTTTCGCGCTCATCCAATTAACCAAGACCAAAAACACAGTGGGGGATGGCTCCGTATCCTCGTCTCTATGATGAAAAGGATACATTTTATAATCATCCTCACCTAGACCTAGACCTATATCTAGATCTAGATTTAGTCGTTGCTTCGAGATCTGAGTCTAGAATCTAGATCTCTATCTAGTACCGTAGTCTAGATCTAGATCCACGGACATTGCACACCAGATATATTTAGAATTGATCAAGTCGAGACAGCTAGATCTAGATTATGGGGTGAACACTTTAAATCTAGATGTAATCTAGATCTAGATCTAGATCTATCTAGATATATTCGGCTTGCCCCCCTGACCTAATAAAAATAGGAAGGGGGGTTTCAGGGGGGCATGCCCCCCTGAATTTTATCATAATTTAATGTTTTAAGGTTTGATATCTTAGCTCACCGCGAATCAAACGTATAGATCTAGATATAGATCTAGATCTAGATCTAGATGTAGATCTATATTTCTAGGTCAAATAAGGGGGTGGGAACTACCGAAAAAGCACCATATATTCTAGATTAGATCTACATCTAGATCTAGATCTAGATCTAGATCTAGATCTAGATCTAGATCTAGATCTATATATCTAGATCTAGATCTAGATTAGATAGAGATCAGAAGTAAATTATTATATATAATCTTGGCCTTTCTAGGGACATCACTCTGAATTTCATTCTAGATCTATCTAGATCTAGATCTAGCCTAGAATCTAGAGAAGCACACAGACCGAGGCCAGCGCGCTCATATGACCTTAGCAGTTGCGAGCGCCGTAAAACCTTATACTACTGAAACTGAAGACCGAGGCCTAGGCCTAGCATACGACAAACAGTCGAAACTAGGTCAACCTCTCAATTCGAAGTTTCAATGTATGATAAAGTGCATTTCTTGGTCATTTTGTGGTCAAGTGTTGATGCTAGCATCGACATTTAATAGTAAAGCACCTAATATTACTAATAATACTTACATTTTGCTGATTTCGATTTTATCTGTGAAGAATTTCAGTCGAAAATAAATACGAAACGAGGCTGTGTGCGACACACGTCCACCATGTTTTACAACATTGTTGAATAGCAAGTCTGACACGTCGCGCAGCTCAGCGGACAGCAGACAGACCAGACAGCGACGCTGCTCAGGAACAAGATAGGTCTAAAGTAGGCTAGGTCTATACTAGCCTACTAGGCCCCTACGTTCATTTGCACGGAGCGAGCTAGGCGCATAGCGCACACCGTCTGCGTGTCAGCACAGCCGCACTGTTCGTTGACGTGTGTAGTGTGTAGGTAGGTGTGCAACTGATGGGCCTGCCTTGCTATATTTAGGTACTGTGTAATCGTGTAATCTACATGATTAGGTGCGGCGCTGCAATTGGCTTTTGAGTGGGGACATTGCAATCGGCCTTGCCCTTTATGTTCTTTACTTTTTCATGGGTTCTGCTTAAAGTCCAGTTCTGGCACTGATAACATAATGTTGGTATGAATATTGAGGTGATAAGCTGTCACTTTGTGTCCATGGAGATCTTTGGATGAGATAGGAGGGTTGCGAGCTGGTAGGTGACAGCGTTGGCTTTTTGAGTTCGCATTTCTATTTCTCTGTCTAGATCTAGAATCTAGAATCTAGACTATATTCTAGATGTAGATCTAGATCTAGATCTAGATATAGATTTCTAGATCTAGAGATCTAGAATCTAGATCTAGAAATAGATCTAGATCTAAATCTAGATCTAGATTTAAATATCTATGGACCCGTTTTCAGAAAAAGTGCTGCGGAGATATTTAAACTCCTTCACCTGTTTCAGTTGTTCGCTATTGATATGGATGTTCAGGGGACTACGGTTTCGGCTCACTTTCATAACATCTGTTTTTGATGTTCTTATTTTCATGGTGAATTTCTCACAGCTGTTGTTGAGTTCTAGGGGTGAAAAAAGAAAGCGACGCTTTCGCGCTCATCCAATTAACCAAGACCGAAAACGCAGAGGTGTGATGGCTCTGTATGCTCGTCTTTATGGTGATGAGGATAAATTGGTGATCTTATACTTTAGCACGTTAAATTCTTCAATTGAGGACTTCCGAAACGAGCGACCACTATTAGATCTGTATCTAAATTCTATATATCATCAAGATTATACTCAATGGCTTCCAAAATCATGATGGAAGACCGAAAACCAGTGTTATACGATCTGTTCATGACAAAATTAAGGTAGTTTGTGCATTTTTAGGCCCAGTTCAAAGTTTTGAAGGTCTGAGTCGGGGATTAGTAGACTTTGGGAATTTAACGTGCTAAAGTAAGATCACCGATAAATTTTATAATCATCCTCACCTAGACCTAGATCTAGATCTATACATGTATTTAGCCCTTGCTTCGAGATCTGAGTCTAGATCTAGATCTAGATCTAGATATTAGATCTAGATTAATCTAATCTAATATATCTAGATCTAGATTTAGATTTCTAGATCTAGATCTATGGTCATTGCACATCAGATATTTAGAATTGATCAAATCGAGATAGATTCTGTGGTGAACACTTTAAATATATAGATTAAATATAGATGTAGATTATTATATAGACTGTCTAGAATCTTGGCCTTTCTAGGGACATCCGTCTGCATCTCAATCTTGATCTAGCCTAGAATCTAGAGAAGCACATAGGTCTAGATCTAAGTCTAGGCCTAGGCCTAGCATACGACAAACAGTCGAAACTAGGTCAACCTCTCGATTCGAGGTTTCAATGTATGATAGACGATAAAGTGCATTTCTTGATGATTTTGTGGTCAAGCGTTGATGCTAGCCTCAATATTTAATAGTAAAACACCCAATAATACTTACTTCTTGTTGATTTTGATGATCTGTGAAGAATTTCAGTCGAAAATAAACATGAAGCGAGGCTGCGTGCGACACATGTACGACGTGTTTTTACAACACTGTTGAATAGCACGTCTGACGCCTCAGCCCTGGTTCCAATCTATCTGCCAGTTTTCTTTCAATCGAGGTCAAGTCAAAGTTCAAAGCTTCTACTTCTACACACAACACGGTACAGTATGGCCACCCTTTTCTAAAGACACTGTTCTCCTGTATAAAATGTACGGGGAAGGGGCTCTAGTGATCTAGAGGTACACTGTTCGCCTTTTATTCATTAGGTCCAGAGCTCAAAACCTTCACATAGAGAGCAGACAAATCGCTGTCGTCGCAAAGAGACATGGTGGCTTTTTGACGAGGAATCTCCTCGATCGAAAGAAAACTGGCCGATATATTGGAACATGTAAACTGACTCACATACGACGAATCTGATACATGTACGTGTACAATTTATGGTTGCATGTAACCAGGGCTTCACAGCGACGCCGCTCAGGCGAACGATAATGTATACGTCCATTTGAATGGTGCGAGCTAGGCAAGCTACAGGTCAGACCTACAGAGCCACTCTAGGACCGGCCTAACACACCGTGCACACACGCCCATATTATTATCTTGACTCACGCGATGCTGTCGGGGTCGGTCAGGCGGTTCCCCCTTAGATAGACAAAAGCTCACATTTTGGCACGATTTGATCAAATCTTCCAAAAAACAACCATGTGTGATGTGATTTTGAAGGATTTGATCCAACTGTAATACAAAGATAAGCTGAGCCGTGCTGTGAACTGTTGTGAAAGCAACCAACTTGTGTTTCTCGCTCATAATATGACCGTACGCAGTTGCGAGCACCGTAAAACTCTTACTAAACTAACAGACTGCTCTTGCCCCTCCACGGAGGTATGTCTGCCCGACCCCGACTCCGTTCAACAGATCTGAACTGTCCGTGTGTACCGTGCATAACTGTTGGACCACACACGCCCGTGGTCAGATGTGTGGATCAATAAAGTTAGCCCTGCCTGGAGGTTGTGAAGTCAGTGAACATATAAAGTAAAGTCCGGGGTGACATAACGTCTGGATGATAAAGGAATGAGGTGTTGATTGTCAGTGCGTAAAACGTATGTGTGTTCAAGGTTCGTCCGAGGTTGCAAGCGAAGACGAGAGAGAGGGAGAGAGAGAGAGAGAGAGAGAGAGAGAGAGAGTGGGAGAGAGAGGGAGAGAGAGA